CACGAGACGTGAGGATGCTAAGGCGGTTTGGTTCATTGGTTGCTAATGTTAAGTAAATGAAGCAGCTTCAACAAATTCAGCAGCAGAGCCAACAGCAGCAGGGCGGGATCCATCAACAGCAGAACGCTGCGACGTCACAGCAGCAGCAGCAGCAGCAGCAGCAGCAACAACAACAGCAACAACAACAGCAGGATAGGTTGGGTCAAGTGAACGTGGACGTGTCGAATTCGTTTCGGCAAAGTGAGCCCGTGTACGGAGGCCTGGAGCCGAGTCCGAGTACGAATAGTACTGGCACGGGAAAACAGGTACGGGGGTGGGTGGGTTAATTAGTCTGATGTTGTTTTATGTGAAGCCCTATTTGTCGGCTTGCGTTGTACTGGTTCTGGGGATGGAGTGGTGTTGTTGCAGTGTGGGTTTGTGTATTATTTGTCTGAATGCGTTGATAAGAGGGGATTCCCGCGGTGGCGGGATGTTTTGTAAAATAATGGACGTTACGGTGGCATTTTCGTGCGTGCCTGGTAGAGTCATATGCTATTTTGGTTGGAATTTCGTAGCACGAGGAGGTAAATGGGTGAGGGATTGAGACGTGTGGTTGTGTTTGCGATGTCTAGATGTCTTTGTGCGCATTTTAGAGTGGGAACTTGGCGATGTGGGTTGTCATGGTGGAGGTGGCTCGTAGAGTTTTTCCGACTTTTTGGTGTTTGTTGTTGTCGTTTTTATTATAGGTAGTACTAAAGTGGTTGCATGAAGCTGGTTTGAGGCGTAGTGTTACTTCGTCTTTGACTGTTCAGAATCGTAATCGTTGTCTTTATTGGTACAGTGTTTATGATAGTATTGATAATCTGAGCAGGTGGAAGTGAAGTGTTTTCTGGGAATTTTGGTCAGGCTGTGTCATTAAGTTATGCCGAGCGCTTTTTTTGAGCGCTGAATACGGAGGGACGACTTTGTCCTTCTGACAATTAAAGGCGATAGTATACGAGCTTGAATTAGTCGTGTACTGTTTGGCTGAAAGGGCAGGTTTGATCGTCATA